CCCCTTGGTGCTGTGGTAGACAGGCAGGAAGGTCACCCAGACACTGCAGAACACCAGCATGCTGAACGTCAGGAACTTGGCTTCATTGAATGTGTCAGGCAGGTTCCTGGCTAGGAAAGCCACAGTGAAGCTGGCCAGGGCCAAGGAGCCCAGGTAGCCCAGGACACAGTAGAAGGCAGTGGCTGAACCCTTGTTGCACACCAGGATGATGCGGCCATGCTCAGAGTGTGCATCTGTGTCAATAAAGGGAGGAGAGATTCCCAAGCCAGATGCCACAAAGAGCCAGTTGGATCAGGAAATAGATAGGAATGACAGAGTTAGAAGCTCCTGATACCAGCAATCGCTGATAGTTCTTCCAGGTTTGTAACTTTGAGGCCAGAATCACAGTGATGGTCTTGGCCAGCACGGTGGAAACAGCCCACTGTGAACACAAGGCCAATGTTATTGCTGGGAGGCAGGTGGCTGTTTAGGATGGCCAAGGAAGAGTAAGGAGCAGAGGAAACACAGGAGGAGGGTGATGAGCAGGATGTAGCTGAGGGTCCTGTTATTGGCCTTGACGAGGGAGTGTCTCGGTGCTTCACAAAGACCCAGAGGATGGCAGCTGTGAGGACAGAGAAGCACAGAGCCATGCAGGCCAGAGCCATCCCCAGGGATTCCTCAAACGCTAAGAAGGTCACCAGCTTGGGGAGGCAGCGGTTTCTCTCCATGTTTGGTACTCGTGATCTGCACACGGGATGCACTGCTCTGCATCTGAGGAAAAAGAGAGACTCAACACTGACACAGAATTCTGACTTGTTCTGTTTAGGAAAGTGGTCACCTTTGCACTGCCACTTTGAGAACAGACTGCCTTATATACCAACAGGCACTAGGGTAAGTCTGTATTCCAAATCCAGGGAGAATGCTCTCTTCCTAGAATCAGCAGGTGCTCAGGCTTTTGTCTCAGACATTCTGGACACAAATAAGCACCCATATGATGAACTATGAATTCCCATATGATGTATAATTTATTTTTCTTTCTTGTTTCATATACTTAATGGGTATAGCACATCACTCTGATAAGTTTTGTTATAATCTTTACACCTGAAAAATCTGCTCCCTCTCTAAAGTGTGAAAAATTAATGATTTCTACTGCTGCATAATGGTCATTGAAGGATTATTTTTGGAGTAATAGAAACTATTATCTACTCTGTACTTTGAATAATGGAAGCATTTTCTAAGTAGTGTTTATCCAGTTCACATAATTATATATATTTGTCCTTTGATAGATAATTCCTAAATGTTAATTGTTTAATGATGACAAACTGCATCCTGTATTATGATATTCTGTCTTCATATTTCACACTGCACAATATTAAGGATATGGCACAAAAATAATAAAATACTTCTGTATCAACTTGCACCAGCCTAGTACATTGTATTTGTGCATGAAAACTACATGGATTTGCTCATCTAAGCAAGCATAACAAAACTTGGTGGTGATGCTTTTTACATGTCTTGCTTGGATCTAAGCATGGTCCACTAGTAGAGCTCAGATTAGGACTGCCTTTCCCAGAACTGGAGGGTAAAATAAGATGTCTTGTCAAATCAATAGCACTTTTGAGCCCAATAAGATGAGTGCCACCAGACACCAGTCTACACATAATGTGGTAAACATAGCAATCATAAAATAGATGTGTGGAGATAGCGAGTGATTATATGTATTCATAGCAATGGTTCACTGCAATCCCATTACAAATATTCTTGGGTTGCTTTTCCTTTTTTTACATTGTTATCAATGTAAAGAGAACATTTTTCATATATTTCATAGAAACAACTCTAAAGTGGTTAACCATACTTCCCTCCTCCCTTCCCTCCCAGAATACTCCTCCTTTCTACTTTTCATTTAACTTTTACAATAATATAATTCAATTGCTTTAGAACCACAGGCTTAATGCACCATTAGCCATAATATTCTAGAAGTAAAATGTAGGCTTTTCTGTATTCTATATTAACTACTGTATATCAGAGAAAACATATGATGATAGTTGTCATTTGGGGGCTGAATTATTTCACTAAGCATAATGTCTTCCAGTGGCATCAATGTTGTTGCAAAAGACTGGATTTTATTCCTTCTTTTGGCTGAGTAGTATAATTATGACAGTGGAGTTATCAGTAGGAATGGATACGGTTTCTACCTGTCTGATTGGAAATGTCTCTGTCTGTACAAAAAGTGCAAGTATAGCAGCAGACAGGTCTTCCTTCCTGTGGCACTTTCCTGAATCCTGGGCCACAGCTCTGGCTACACACAGATTGAGGAGTCTGAAATGAAAAGAGAAACATTCATCTTGATTTTGCATATTATCACTTTAATGGAATTTCAATACTTCCCCCCCACACACAACAGAAAATATGACCTGGCTGGTGCCACAGCTCACTAGTCTAATCCCCTGCCTGCGGTGCTGCTTCCCTGGGTTCGAGTCCCAGTTGGGGTGCCCTGTTCTGCCCAGGTTGCTCCTCTTCCAGTCCAGCTCTCTGCTGTGGCCCAGGAAGGCATTGGAAGATGGCCCTAGTGCTTGGGCCCTGCACCCACATGGGAGACCAGGAAGAAGCACCTGGTTCCTGACTTCGGATCCGGTGCAGCATGGTGCACCAGCTGTAGTGGCCATTTGGGGAGTGAACCAATGGAAATAAGACCTTTCTCTCTTTTTCTCTTTCTCTCTTTCTCTCTTTCTGTCTCTCTCTCTCTCTCTCTCTCTCTAACTCTGCCTGTAAAAAAAAAGGAAAAAAAAGAAAAAGAAAATGTGACCTTCAGTGGAAGGTCATCACTGTGTCTCCTCTTATGCCTGCCAAGTCATCATTACCTAGGCAGCTAATTTGGAGCTTCTGTGGTCATCATTGTACTTTATCAACATGTAGCAAATATTACAAATGCAGTTAATCAATTTTATTTCACACATCACCCACTAACATCCTCTGCCATTTATCTCTTCTTATTGAACCACTATATCCAAAATATGTTTAATGTGGGTTTCTATGTAGCAATGGTTCTGGAAACTAGAAAGTCTAAGAACTCTTTGACCATGAACTCATACTTAATTGATTAGAATATTTTACATCACAGATAAAAGAAACAAAAGACATGATACGGAGGCACACTACTGAGAGCAACTGAAAAAATCAGGTCCACATAGAAATGGTTAGAATGTGTTATGAAACAATAATTGTGTTTAGTACATTTCTGAAATTCTCTATTCAGGCAGGCCATTAATTTCAAGAGATAAACACATCACTTGGGTGCAATGCATTGTTCTTATAAATAGCTCATGCGAAAAAAATCATATTTTGGAAACAACACAAACTAATGTCAATACCTCAAGATGTTATGAAGAATAAAATGTGGAAGATTGAGTACCATGCAAAATGCAAAAAAAAGAAATGTGACCTACAAAGAGGTGAATGATAAGTCGACCCATAATCCACTGTGTTCATCATGCATCAGAACGTAAAGGCCCCACCATATGTGATTAAGGCCTTCAGCATACATAGAGAGATATACTGAGAATTTATGTGTCTATACACTGATCTCTTTATTTCTTTCATTAATTATACTTTATTCTATTCACTCAATATCTGCATAAATATATATGCTCAAATTAAAAATAAATCAGATTATTCCAAGTTGCTCCTTCAACATGCATTGCCAAGAATATATATATGAATTACTATGTATTGGGAAGCCATGATATGAAGTGAGACTCTGATGCTTATGTAAAGGCTTCATACTTAATCTACTCCATATAGGTCTGTGAAATTGAAAGGGATCCATACCTCTTTGAATGCAATAGGCCATTCTATCATCTCTTCATTGATGACCAAGGCTTGATCCTGTGAACTCTTAGAGAAAAACTTTCCAATGTTGACCATCAATCCAAGGCCCACAGGAAAATTCACAATATACTGGATATCATATTGTACCACATCGTGCCTTGTTTCATGAAAGGATATGTCATATCCAGCACTGTTCCTAAATTGGATTTTCTTCAGAAGTGGGTGAAGCTAGAGGACAAACATAATTGTAAGAAGGACAGCATTCAAGTTTAGGTGCTAGTGATGGGATTAAGATGGTGGACAAGGGAGAGTGATTGCTGCTCTAGTCTAGGAGAACATAGATTAAGAAAAAGTGGAAAGACTGTAGGCTCAGGGAAGAGTTAAGGAGAAAACAGCAGAGAAAACTCTACACAAATTGGAGGGACATGGTGGACCTATGTGGAGAGCAAGGACATGCACAACTTAGGACCCCAGCAGCTGAGAGCCTCTGCACCAGCACTGGAGAGTGAGGTGAGACCAAACCGCAGCAGTCCAAGCCACTGGCAAGAAGCTGCAGGAAGAGCTTAGAGGGAATCCAGCTTGGAGTCCCATGGGGGATAGTGTACCTGCCAAACTACAGGAGAAAAAACAAAGGTGGAACATGTTTTCTCTCTCCCCAATCACCCTGCAACTGTGTCTTATAACAAGCTGATAGAGAGCAGGCGTCATCTTGGACATACATAAAAGCTGTACCAGAAAACAGACAAGTAGAAACTCCTGAGCCTGGTGAGAACAGACAGGGGCTGAGTGCTCATGACTGTGGGAGGCTTGTGTGCTGGGATTTGAAAACACTGAGGCTGCATTGGAGGACTCAGGGTGTGGCTGGGACATTGGACAGTCACTGTAGTGGGCTCCGCACAAACAGGGCTGCCTGGTTACCTGGGGAGTGACATTGCCAGCAATCTGAGTTTACACTGAGGCTGCACAGATCCTCTGTGTCATCCTTGTGGCAGAGCAGACAAATAATATACACACTGAGGCTAGCACCCAGGTACTGGTCTCCTTTGAGGAAAGGAACTCAACTGAGTCTACACCAACAGACAAGAACAAACCTTCCCTCTGATCAAAAAGAGAGAGAGAGAGAGAGATTTACTATGCAAACCTGGGTGTGTCACTGCAGATATAGCTCTCACACTGGAGCATTGAAAAGAGCTTCTTGGCCACACCTACTTCATAGCTCTAGGTAGCCCCTGAAAGCAGACACTCCACTAATACACACATAGTCCAAAGATGAAAGACACCACAGTGAAAAAAAAAAGAAATGAACAATTATCTCCACAAATGCCAAAAAACATATGAACAAATTCAAGATAGAGAATAAGGAAGGCAACATGACACCCCCAAAAGAACACAACACGTAAATACTAGATTGTGAAGATAATGAGACTGAAGAAATCCCAGAAATGGAATTCAGTCAGAGATGCTGTAGCAGTGCATGTGCAAAAAGAAGTCAATTCCCAGGCTCCCTATCCTCAGGAATTCTTCTTCAGAGAGACTTGCAGGGTTTGAGTCATCATCATCTCATGGGTTCAAGTGAAGAGAACCATTCTACCATTGCCTGATTACAAGGATGAGAACTGATGTAATATAATCAGTAAATTATATTAGGTGACTTAGGTATGAACTCTGATGTGTCATTGACCAGGATGGTGGTTTACTTGGGGCTTTATGGAAGTTAAGCTTTGTACTTCCACATGGGTCTGTCATGGATGGTGGTGCTGAAGGATGATTTTTTGATGGTAACAAGTTGTGTTCTTACCTGAGCTCTTTCTAGGGTTCAACAAAGTAAACTTAACAGTAAGATTATTTTTTAATGTTTCAAAAATTTGACATATAAGCCTAGTTTATGTTAAAGATATACACTTTTCTAAAACTAAAGATGTCTGGAGGTCCCTGAGGACCCAACTTAAGACAAACATATGTGTGATATATGTTCAATTCTATATACATAAAATTTTATACCTCAATAATGTTTAGAATAGATACCATATGGGTTTCTCCTCACTCTATTAGTTGAGGGACTCATTAACTTTCTACATTTTATTTGGAAGTATATGACAAAAACCATGGAGTTCTACTTCTGTAAAAAAATGTGTAAATGCCATTAGTGGCTCCATGCCCACCCTGCTCTGGAGGGGGTTTACCTGCCAGGGAAGAAGCTTAGGTTGAGCTGCATCTCCTAGAGATCCCATTTCCATTTTCTCTAGAAACATCTTATGGAGGGCGTGGGCCACTGCATACACAGCATTGTAGATGAAATAGCTAGAGTCAGATAGAGTCATTATGTCGATGTCTCCTGGGGAAAACTCTAAGGAAGTGTTTGGTGGGCAGTCTCCTATTTCTCCACATAGCGACCCAGAAGGTAGGCAGGTGAAAATGTGGAACCATAGTTTAGTGAAGTAAAAGTCTTCTGGGTAGTGGGAAGGGTCCACTGTCTTGAGAAAATGTTTGAGGCCTGGGATTTCCCCCTTGTGTGGTGAAAATGAGAAGCTTCCATGGAAAGAGTGCAGTGCACGGTATGTCTCATGCACAACGATGTTCCACTTTGCTACCATGATCCACACCTTGCCCACGGTTAAAAAGTATTCTCCTGCAAAGTCCACACAGATGAGGCTCCTTACTTCACCATAGAGTATGTGCACATTTGCAGAAGAAAGGCTGATCCCAGTCATGAAAGTGATATCAGTGGAGGCATACAGTCTCTTAGTGGCAGGGAGCTTTTGTGTGAAGGCCACACAGAGACTTCTCTTTACTATCTCTGTCTCGAAGTACCGAAGGAACTGCTCTCCTTTCATATCATCAGATACAAAGAGCGCCACCCAAGTCCAGCCAAAATGCAGCAACAAGGAGATCATTCCATGGACCACAGAGCTGTCACTGGTGGCCATCTGATAGAGTGAGGGAAACCGGTCTTTATCACTTAGCAGAGGATCAAAAGGGCCATGGGTGATCTGAAAGCCAAAGTAGTCATGACTGTGAATTATCTTTGTTGGGGTAAGGCTGAGATATTCTCTCCAAGGGAGCCCTTTGAGGAGAATGTTACTGGGTAAAAAGAAAAATTGCTCTAGAGATAGCTGAACTCTGTTATTCTGCACCCAGAGAACACCATGCTTCTTATGCCCTTTGCCTTTGGAAGAAAGCTGATATGATAGCATGAAAATGTGTAATATCCCTGTGAGCTCTTCACATTCTGCAGTGCAAACTGGGAAGGCATGAATTTTGAATGCAATATCACCAAGATAGTAACCTTTTTTATTTTTTCATTTATTTGACAGATAGAGTTAGACAGTGAGAGAGACAAACAGAAACAGAAAGGTCTTCCTTCTATTGGTTCACTCCCCAAACGGCTGCTACAGCCAGAGCTATGCCAATCCATAGCCAGGAACCAGGTGCTTCCTCCTGGTCTCCCATGCAGGTACAGGGCCCAAACACTTGGGCCATTGTCCACTGCCTTCCTTAGCCACAGAAGAAAGCTGGACTGGAAGAGGAGCAGCCGGGACTAGAACCGGCACCCAGATGGGATGCCATGACTGCAGGCAGAGGATTAATCAAGTGAGCCACAGCACCGGCCCTGATAGTATCCTTGCCCTCATCCTCACCCAGTGTGGGACAGAACCAAGGTGGCATGTAAACTATGACAAAATTTGTATGGCTTTTAGGATATACAAGTTCATTTCTTTTTTTTTTTTTGGCCAAGGAATATAATTTTTACTTGAAAGAGTGGCTGACAGAAAGACTGGTTAATCAGATGAGTATTTGGCAGACATTTTCTTAAACATTAATAACAACTGTTAGTTTAAGAATACAACTCATATTATTTTTTTAACTTTTATTTAATGAATATAAGTTTCCAAAGTACGAATGATGGATTACTATGGCTTCCCCCCCATACCGTCCCTCCCACCCACAACCCTCCCCTTTCCCACTCCCTCTCCCCTTCCATTCACATCAAGATTCATTTTCGATTATCTTAATATACAGAAGATCAGCTTAGTATACATTAAGTAAGGATTTCAACAGTTTGCTCCCACACAGAAACATAAAGTGAGGAATAATAGATGATTTTTTTAATGATGATGAAATCAGATCAGACCTATTGTCATGTTTAATCCCAGTGAGAGTCAAGTTGGGAGTTGATAGTTTCTTTTCTTTTTCTTTTTTTTTTTTTTTTTTTTTTTTTTTACAGAGGATCAGTTTAGTATGCATTAAGTAAAGATTTCAACAGTTTGCACCCCCATGGAAACACAAAGTGAAATATACTGTTTGAGTACTCATTATAGCATTAAATCTCAATGCACAGCACATTAAGGACAGAGATCCTACATGAGGAGTAAGTGCACAGTGACTCCTGTTGTTGACTTTACCAATTGACACTCCTGTCTATGGCATCAGTAATCTCCCTATGCTCCAGTCATGAGTTTCCAAGGCTATGGAAGCCCTCTGAGTTCTCCGATTCTTATCTTGTTTAGACAAGGTCATAGTCAAAGTGGAGGTTCTCTCCTCCCTTCAGAGAAAGGTACCTCCTTCTTTGAAGACCTGTTCTTTCCACTGAGATCTCACTCACAGAGATCTTTCATTTAGGTTTTTTTTTCAGAACACACATACCTGTGGGATTTTGTAGAGCTCCAAAAGGGTTCCAATTTCAGCAGAAAATGTTGCTGTGGTTCCTGCAATGATGGCGACTGATTTGTCTTGTTTTTTGCAGTTGTAGTTAGGGACAAATATACCCTGTCCTGAGAGCCAGTGCAGAGTGCTCCACAAAGTGAACTGATCACTGGGAAAACCATTGTAGAATTGGTAACCCAAGGACATGTTGGGGAGTAAGTGGGGATTCTTATTGATCTCCTGGATGGCAAAGTGAAAAGCCAGGACATGTTGGTAGTTCTTCCATAACCACCTATGAAGAGGTCATATTTAGGGAAAGGAGTGAGTTCTTCAGTGCAGATGTGGGAAAGAAGCAAACTGCCTATGCACACACTCATCTGCGTGAGCTTTTTAGACAAGCCTTGATGTATCCCACTATGGAATCTGAGTTTTACTCAGAGACAGAAGTCAAGATGCACTTTTTCTTTTCTGTTAGTTCTGAAAGAGTTTAAATGACAACTGATTTGCCAGTTGTTTAAATATTATCCTCTCTAACCACATTCACCTGAATTCATTTTGCATGTGCCATTTCTGCAATTTTCTACTCTGATGTATCAGCTCCTGTGAAAGAAGCTTTGTTAAATTATATTTGCTTTGGGGGCCAGCACTGTTGTGTACTGGGTGGTGCCACTGCCTACAGTGCTGGCATCTCATATGGGTCCATTTTGAGTCCCGGCAGCTCCTCTTCCAGTTCAGCTCTCTGCTATGGTTTGGGAAGGTCGTGGAGGATAGCCCAAGTCTTTGGGCCCCAGCACCTGCGTGGGAGACTCAGAGGAATCTCCTGGCTCCTGAGTTCAAATCAGCACAGCTCCAGCTGTTGCAACCAGCTGAGGAGTGAACCACCGGATGGAAGATCTCTCTCTCTCTCTCTCTCTCTCTCTCTGCCTCTCCCTCTCTGTCTCTCTGCCTCTCCTTTTCTCTCTGTGTAACTCTGGTTTTCAAATAGATAAATAAATCTTTAAAAATTATATTTCCTTTGAAAATAAGCATTTGATTAGGGGCTTTTTTCCTGTTTTATTATTAATATAAAGAGGACTGATATTGTGCATTTCAAAGACACAATTCTAAGAACATGGCACTTCCCTCTTTCCTCTTCCTTTATTCCTTTCTTTTTTTACTTTTAATTTTTTAATAACATAGTTTCAATTCACTTTATAATCACTGAACATAGTGATTATTTATAGCTACAGTTCAACAAGTATAAATAATAGATTTAGGACTTCTAAGTGACATAAACCCAAATTATATCATTTTGTTGTCCTTTTTCCTCTTCATTGAACTTCCTTAACATTTCACATTGAACATTCTATGCATTTTTTGCCAAAAAAAAAATAACTTCCTGCAAATTGCTCTGAACTTTTTTCTAATTTCTACATTTCATCCATAATTTGAATCTTATGAAAAATATCACTTCTTCATAGGTTATATGAGACTAGAGGTTTGTATTTATTCTTACGTTTCAATGTTGGGATTAATACTAATATATAATTTCACTTTATTTTAAATATTTATAAAGCATTTTATACAGTTCCCAAAAGGCATAGTTTTCCATTTAGGAAAAATGAGTTTACATGTGTGTCACACAGTATTGTGTGCATTATTCTTACATATGAAACTGGAACTTTTCTTCTATTGCCTAAATAAATGTTCCCTTTATGGAAACATTTAATCAAAAACATTTGAGCTCATATACAGGATTATTTGTTATACCTAAAGTAGATCCAACACAAAAATTAGGCTTTGAAGATCTGTCCAATGCTTACATTATTTTAAATGATAAATTAAGAGTGTTAATGATTTTTTTTTACTTTTCACCATTTTACCTTATTGCTATGATTTTCCTTTTTGAAGTGAAGTTATATTCACTCTAGAGCTATTTGTAGTACCTGCTATCAAGTGAAGTATGACCAGCTGAATTCTTTGTTTCCTAATGTAAACTTGTAAACACTGCTATAAGCTGGTAGAAAACCTTCAGAGATCATAAGCATCAAAGTGACATGTGTTGGGGCTGGCACTGTGACAAAGCGAGTAAAGCCGCCACCTACAATGCCAGCATCCCATATGAGTTCCAGTTCGAGTCCCAGCTGCTCCACTTCCGATACAGCTCTCTGCTATGGCTTGGGAAAGCAGTAGAAGATGGCCCAGGGTCTTGGGGCCCTGCACCCATGTAGGAGGCCCAGAAGAAGCTCCTGGATCCTGGCTTTGGATCGGTGCAGCTCTGGCCATTGCAGTCATCTGGGAAGTGAACCATCAGATGGAAGACCTCTCTCATTCGCTTGTTTGCTCTCTATTTCTCTGCCTCTGCCTCTCTATAACTCTGCCTTTCAAATAAACAAATAAGTCTTCAAAGAAAAAAAAGTCCTCTTTAAAAAAAATGTGGCAGGGCTGGTACTGTGGCACAGGGGATTAACACCCTGGCCTGAAGCACTGGCATCCCCTATGCTGAGATCCAGTTGCTCCACTTCCAATTCCGCTCTCTGATATGGCCTGGGAAAGCAGTTGAGGATGGCCCAGGTCCTTGGGGCCCCGGCCCCATGTGGGAGACCTGGAGGAAGCTCCTGGCTCCTGGCTTTGGATCACTGCAGCTCCAGCCATTGCAGCCAATTGGGGAGTGAAACATCGGATGGAAGACCTCTCTCTCTCTCTCTTTCTCTCTTTCTCTCTTTCTTTCTCTCTGCCTCTCCTCTCTCTGTGTAACTCTGACTTTCAAATAAATGAATAAGTCTTTTTGTTAAAAAGTGACATATGCAGCCTTATTCCCCACATGGCACCAAAGCCCATAACAAGGTTGTTTTACCAGGGCCAATCTTTCCAGTACCAGATAATAAAGTGAATACTTCTCTAATCAATGACCCTGCCATAAACTTGCAGAGATTCAGAATATAAGAAGTAATATTCAAGATGGCTAGAGAGGGCCAACATTTGCTCCATGACAGAAAATAAAAAACCAGAACAAAGGAAGGACCACATTTCCAGGGCACCAGGCCTGGAGCTATGCTCCCTCAACACAATCTCAGGAAATTCTCTTAAGCTTTTCTGTGTTGGAGCCAACTGGAAGTAGCCAATACACAATCCCAGAAAACCAGAACTTAGGAAGTCCCCTTCTGCATCTCTTACTACTTGGTGCTTTGTTCCCCAGGTTCCAGGTCTCAGCTGCACCCAGTAGCACCAGAACTGCAACTATTGATAAGCCCTGGGAGTACCTTGCTTTTCCTGTGGGACCTGGGAAATGCTCTATTTCCATTGCACTGATGGAAGTCCTTGGCTGACAATGTGTAAGCCTCACCACAACCTACACTTTTACTCTGGGACCTATGAAAGATATCCTTCCTGCTCAGCAACTCCAGTACTGAGATTGTTAGTACTATAGTTCTTAGATCACCTGTAAACAGCCTGCAGGACCATGTGAAATGCTGCCTGCATTTAACTGCATGGTCCCTTTCAAATTTCCCAGTGCTAGAAGTAGAGCTTTTGGTGCTATAAGCCCCACTATTACCCACACACTGCCAGGAAACACGGGAAATGTCTACTCACATCACCCAGTTACAGGGACAAAGCTACTGGTGCCAAGTTCCAGCAAGTCTGGGACAAGGGAAAGACATATGTGTCCCTCCCAATCTAAAAAGGTAGGACTGACATCACAAACTCTACTACAATTCACAGCTTACTCTGGGGCCTGAAGACAGACACATTTGGAAGCTCAAACCCACTACAAAATCTTACCACTACCCCCATGAACTGCTGCAGACTGGATAACTGTAGGATTTGTAGACACTGCTGACATTGGTCATAGCTGAAGAGATCACTTAGAGATTACAATCCTGGGCTCACCAAGAACCAAAGCCAGAGTAACAACCACACAGCTGACATTCCACATCCCATCTAAACAAACTGCTGATCATGAGAGTAGGTTTTTGAAACAATACAATCATAAAAACCATAAAAAGGCCAGTGTGATATGTAGGATATCAATAAGTAACAAACATTTGTTGTTACAGGAATAATTAAAGGAAAAAGCCATGGGGCACTTCCTGAATGCAATAATAATTGGAAGCCTCCTAGGTCTTTTTTTGGGGGGACAGGCAGAGTGGACAGTGAGAGAGACAGAGAGAAAGGTCTTCCTTTTGCCATTGGTTCACCCTCCAATGGGCGCCATGGCTGGCATGCTGCAGCCAGTGCACTGCGCTGATCCGAAGACAGGAGCCAAGTGCTTATCCTGGTCTCCCATGGGTTGCAGGGCCCAAGCACTTGGGACATCCTCCACTGCACTCTCGGGCCGCAGCAGAGAGCTGGCCTGGAAGAGGGGCAACTGGGACAGAATCCAGTGCTCTGACCAGGACTAGAACCCAGTGTGCTGGCATCACAAGGCAGAGGATTAACCTATTGAGCCATGGCGCCGGCCAGCCTCCTAGGTCTTGAAAGAGATATGATCATCCAGATAAAGGACGTTTAACCCTGAACAGACTCAAACTATAAAGACTTTCCACAAGGAATGTTGCAATCAAATTGTCAAAAGCTAATAATAGGGGGCCAGCACTATGTTGCAGTGGGTTAAATACCTGTCCTGAAGCACTGGAATCTCATATGGGCACTGGTTCTAGTCCCAGCTGCTCCTCTTCTGATATAGCTCTCTTCTATGCCCTGGGATAGCAGTAGAAGATGGCCCAAGTTGTTGGGCCCCTGCACCCATGTGGTTGACCCAGAAGAAGCTCCTGGCTCCTGGCTTCAGATGGCCTCACCTCTGGCCATTGCGGCCATCTAGGGAGTGGGCCAATAGATGGAAGACCTTTCTCTATCTCTTCCTCTCACTGTCTGTAACTCTACCTCTCAAATAAATAAATAAAAAATTTTCAAGAAGAGAAGAGAAGGGAAGGGAAGGGAAGGGAAGGGAAAAGGAGAGGAGAGGAGAGGAGAAGAGAGGAGAGGAGAGGAGAGGAGAGGAGAGGAGAGGAGAGGAGAGGAGAAGAGAAGAGAAGAGAAGAGAAGAGAAGAGAAGAGAGAAAACATACCCAGGGCCGGTGCTGTGGTGCAGTAAGTTAATCCACCACTGCAGCACTGGCATCCCATACGGGCGCCAGTTCTAGTCCCGGCTGGTCCTTTTCTGATCAAGCTCCCTGCTATGACCTGGGAAAGCAGTAGAAGATGGCCCAAGTGCTTGAGCCCCTGCACCCATGAGGGAGAATAAAAAGTTGAAAAAGATATTAGATACAAATAGAAAGAAAAAATGATCAAGAGTAGATGTACTCATATCAAGTAAAAACAGATTTCAATCCAGAAATTAAAAAAAGAGACAAAGATGATCATATATTAATAAGAGGATTCATGGAGCAAGAAGAAATAACAACATATAGGCATATATAATAAAAAACAAATATATAAGGCAAATATTATTATAAATAAATGAGATAGATTGCAATACAATAGCAGTGATACACTTCAATATCTCACTGTCATCAATAGGCACATCATCTAGCCAGAAACTCCACAAAGGTATATAAGAGAGCCAAAGCATGGAGAAAATGAATAACTCAGGCATTGATAGAACATTTTAATTAAATACCACAAGAATATACATTCTCCTCATTAGCACATCAAACACTGTCCAGGATAAACCATACATTAGGTGACAATCAGCTCTCAGAATTTACATATACAACATAGCTCCCTGCTATGACCTTGGAAAGCAATAGAAGATGGCCCAAGTTCTTGGGCCCCTGCACCCATGAGGGAGACCTGGAAGAAGCTCCTGGCTACTGGCTTCAGATCAGCACAGCTCCAGCCATTGCAGCCATTTGAGGAGTGAACCAAAGGAAGGAAGATCTTTCTTTCTGTCTCCTCCTCTCACTGTCTGTAACTCTACCTCTCAAATAAGCAAATAAAATCTTAAAAAAAAAGAAACTATAACCAACCCTACATTATCTATAAGAAACTCACTTCACAGGTAAAGATACACATTCACTGAGAGTAAAGGGTTGAAAAAGATATT